TGAGGAACAGGTACAGAGGCAAGATTGCTAGGCCTGAAGGGACCTAGAGACTGGAATGGGTTCTGGGTGGGGAGGCAAAGGTCCAGCCACTGACAAGGGCCAGGCCTGCACAGGGACCACAGGACCAAGCTAACAGGGAAAGTGACATCACTATAGCAAGGAGCACAAGGAATGTACCCCATCCACTTGCAGGAAAAAGGTTGCCTAGCCTGGAAACTGCATGCAAACAATATTAAATCCAAATCCACTCCTTGCAGGCAGGCTGCCACTCACAGCCACCATCCAGCTGCAAACATAGACCCTGTGACAAAACCAACTCCTCCAGGGAGGGAAAGGCCTGCACGTGTCCCCTTCCCCAGGCCAGATACCATGCCTCTCCTCACCTGAATTCCCCTACCAACAGCCAGATAAGTGGCCTGAAACAGTAAGCCTGTCCTCTACTGCACCCCAACTGCACCTCTTAGGTGCCAGGGCACAGGACTCCCAGCAAGAGAGAGGGAGTGAAGGCTTGCTGGATAACACTAAGGTTTGGAGTAACCTGTTACAAGTGGTAGGTAACCAGCAAAAACATCAAAAGGCTCCTGGTCCTGTGTGACTCAAACCAAAACTGCAACAAGGCTGAGCTGAGTTTTCTTGCTAAACACAGGTTTACATGAGGACATTCACTGCTGGACAAATGCACAATGGATCCAACCAAGGAAAGAAGATAAGAGGTGCTTCTGGGATCAAGGCAACAAATTTAGTCTTGGGAAAGCACTAGGAGCGAGGGAAAGTAGGGCTTCCCTTATCACAGATATCACCTCATTCTGTAATGGGTTCCCAGGCAGATGCTACTCGCACTTACAATGGCTTCCCTAAAACACATCAGGTCCCCCAGGATCCAGAGTTTTCATTAAAGAGCTGGGATATTTGATAAACAGGGGAAGAAGCTGTTAGTTATATGGATGTCCACAGCTCTCGGGGATGGGGAACAGAAATTCTAGAAGCTGCTCAATGGAGATTCTTGGGGCAGAGAACCATACTCAGTAGGACCATCTGGGACAGCATGTAACATGTGACAACTTGCCACTACAGAGAGTGAAAGTAGTCTAGAAACTCCTGAGCATAGCCCAACCCAGTGGAACCCCTCCCAACATGGCAGGAAGGTTACAGGCGTGAGCACCCTCAGCCATGACAGACAGGCCCAGGCTGAGGCACCAACGCAAGGTATGACATTCACAGGGGACACCTAGGCTGCCTCAAAAGGCCTGGCTCATAGGTAGCCAAGAACACTCTATTGCCAGTGCTGGCCCACACGCTGAGCCTCTACATACAGGGCTCACAGCATAGAGGAAGGAAAAAGGACTCGCAGCATACAGAAAGAGGCAAAGGGAAGGGAAAGGGGAAACAACTCTCAGCCAAATAGAGGTATATGGATGGCTTTTGTGGAATGGTGAAAAAATGCAAGGGATTTTCACTCAGGTGTGGACAGCACTCCCTACCTCTTCTATTCACTCTACTGGCCTGAAAGAATTCAAGTTCAGAAATGAGGATCAGCCCTGAAAATACTCCAACAGGGCCCAAGTACACCCCCAAGCCAGGATACAGAAAAGATACACAGGGGCCGAGGATTTAGCTTAGTGGTTACACTGCCTGTCTCGCAAGCGCAAGGTCCTGAGTTTGATCTCCGGTACCAAAAAAAAAAAAAAAAGAATTCAGAAAAGACACACAGAGACACCTGCACTCGGCAGGCCAGGCCACACAAGTGGGCAGCAGTGGAACTCTGAGGGTGGCCCCTCCTCTCGATCTTCATCTGGTCTGAGCCTGGCAACTCCAAGCCCAGCAGTGGCTGTTGACTGCCCTCAGCCTGCAGCAGCAGAGATAACCCCCAAGGAAGAGTGACAAACCCCGCTTTGGGGGAAGGAAGATTGCCATACAATGGAGCAGACACCCAGTTACACCCAGTTACAGGATCTTGGTGGGGTGGTGATATATTCAGCAGGTCAGAGTAGCTAAGCACTGATTCCAGGTCAGACCCAGAGTTCTGGTGGTACCAGAGTCCCTGGGGACGCACCAAGGCCTGAGAGAAAACAGTACCTTTCCAATGCTCTAGTCTACCTCTGAAATACCTGTACAGGTTATATCAAAGGTTTTATATAAAAAGAAAATGTTGGGGGCCGGGGGTTTAGCTCAGTGGTTCCAGCACCTGCCTCACAAGCGCAAGGTCCCGAGTTCAATCCCCGGTACCAAAAAGAAAATGTTGAATACTTAAATGTATGGAGCATAAATTTCTGAATGGGAAAAAGGTCCAGAAAGATAGCCATTAAACTATTAACTGCTTAGTCATCCATAGCAAGAGCACTGAATGGGAACTTCCATGCTTCACTGAATAGCGTCAATGCAATATCCAAATCTTTCTCAAGGAAGGTCTATTTTTATAACTTTGACAACTTAAAAAAAAGTGGGGTGGCCGGGCATGGTGCTGCATGCCTGTAATCCCAGCACTCGGGAGGCTGAGGCAGGAGGACTGCCATGAGTTTGAAGCTAGCCTGGGCTACACAGTGAGACATTGCCTAAAAAAAAAAAAAAGTGGGGTGGGTAGCTGCCCATGAGCTTACAAATCATAACCAAAGCACATTTAACAGTCATTTCCATTCTGTCCACACCAGTGTTAAAATTATGCTTGAATGAGATTTTCAGAGTTCTCAGGAATGGCATACACAATTGGAGTTAAAAACCAGTGGCCTGGAGCCTAAATGTACCCTCAGGTACAGCAATTGAGGGACAAGGCTTGGGTTCCCTGAGGGAACTATGGAGAAGACAATGTGTTTATATCCCTCAGAATGCCATGGCCCAGCAAATGCTTCTTCCTGGATGCCTTCTTCCACAAAGGAGAGCCACAGGGACATTTCCATTACCCACCTGTGCCTGCCCCTCAGAGGTCTCCTCTGCCCTGCTGTGGCCCTTGTTACAGCTGATTTCATCCTCTCCTTTGTTGTCAACATCGTCGTCATCGTCGTCGTCGTCATCTTCACTACTATCACCGCCAGAATCTTCCAGGCCTGAGAACACACTTTCCTCACTGTCAGAGAGGTCGGAATCACTGCCGTTACTATGGCTGGAAGCAGGGTCACCAAGAAGAAAGGGCTATAAGGAAGCACAGAGTTGATAACTGCCAACCTGTAGGCTTGCCCAGGCAGGTACCACACACACTATGGAAGATCCAACTGGCCAGGTGCCTTGTGCAGCCTGCCTCTAATTATAAGCCTCCACCTCCACCAGAGCCACTTGTCCAATCCATCCTCTGCCTCTGTTGACAGTAAGGCCACCTACTCTCAGAACTTTAAAACCCTAATATCTCACGAGAGTGACTTTTCAGGGATAACACCTCCTTCCTGGAGCTCAGCTCTCAGTGCACTGCCAAACCCAACTTTCCTCTACTGACAGAAGAAGTCCACACTCCACCCCAGCACTCAAGACTCCCAAGCAGGGCTGGGGATTTAACTCAGTGGCACCTCACCTGCCTTTCAAGCACAAGGTCCTGAATTTGATCCCCAGTACCAAAAAAAAAAAAAGGGTTTGAAGACTCCCAGAGCTGGAAGGCCACTCACTACCTAGGGAAGGAACTAAGGATTCAGAGAGAACCATAGTCCCTGAGGGGCTTTTACCACCTGAAGTAGAAGTTTCCTCATCCAAGGAGACAGTGCCCCACGGTTAGTAGGAAAACTAGAAAGTTGGCTGAAGAGCAATAACAATGCAAACTTTACTTGTAAACAAGCTAACCCCATTTGTTCTCTTCTGGGAACAAAGCCAGCAGTTTCTCTGTACAGAGCCCAGTTGACGGGAGACCACTTCGGGCCTAATTCTGACACCCAAAGCACTGTAGGTCCTGTCACTGGCTTCTGAAAAATAGTACAATTTAAGAGCTTCAGGAAGCATATAAGGGCAGAATTCTCAATTTCACTGTTGCTAAGTTTACAAGTTTTTCCTGACTGGATGGCCTGCATAACCCATTAATCCAAAGCATTCACCTGAGCTTCCACAGAAGAGACTTGCATACACTGATTCATGATGTATCTCCTATGTTCAGCTAGTATCACCTTTGCAATAGCAAGTAAAAATGCTAGGAATGGTTGGGGCACAAACAACTCACTTTCAAGAGCCTAGTACCCAGATCTAGCTGCCTGCTGATTCTCGGACTGCCAACAAGCAGTGGGAAGCAGCTCAGCTACATTTCACTAAACAAAGGGACAGGTCAGAGGAGCTGGCTAAGAGGGTGGCTGTGAGAGGCTGGGTGGTGTATCCCTTCCACCACTCAGATCTGATGAAGTCTCAGCCAAGCCCAGCTAAAAGGGCGGCGAGGGAGAGTCAGTCTGTCACAACCACAATAGACACTGGGTCTATTCAATAATCCATATTCCCAAGTTCCTTGCATTTCCATACATACCTAACACACTGGCACGCTAGCACTGACAAGGATGTGTCCGTGGGACCATCATTTAACAGACTGTGCGGGCTGGAACCCTGCTGGCTCTTTGCCCTCCCCTGACGCGGTTCTACAAGCCACAGAACTGTCCCGGCCCGGGAGCCTAGCGCTGGCTCCACTCCCAGGACACCCGGCAAAACGAGCTCCTGGGCCTGGCTCCCAAGACACCTAGGACCGCGCTCCCCACCCTGCAGGCCTCCCGACCCGGCCGTCAGCCACGTGCTCGCTGGACCCGCGGCGGATGGGCCCCACTGCCCATAGTTACCTCCTCTGGCTCTGGCTCGCGCTCAGACTCGGGCTCAAACTCCGGAAGCCGCTTCGCTGGCCAACCTCCCCGCACAGGCGCCACGAGCCCAACGTCCCGCTCCCCCGCCATGCTAAGTCGCACCGGCCCACCGACCGACAGCCACTTCCGGCAGCGAGCGCGCCGCTAGCACCCGCGGCCCAGCTCCGCCCATCCCGGCTCTGCCCATCCCGGCCCTGATTGGTGAGATGAGGGGCCGGGGAAGACCTACGCAGGCGCGCGGCGCGGCAGCCCGCAGGGAAGCAAGAACAGCAAAGGCGTGGGCCAAGGCGCCTGCGAGCTCCTTGCAAGCGAGCGCGCTGGGAGGGGCGCCGACGGGAGCGCGCGCATCGCAAGATGGCGGCGGCCATGCGAGGCCCAGGTTCCGTGTGTGCGCAACGGGTAGCGGCGCGACCCGGGCCGCAGACGCGGCAGCAGCACTAGTCTAGTCCTTGGACCCCCCTCACGGTCATCCCCGCTGCCTCTTCGCCCGAGATGGATCTGCCTGTGGGCGCCGGCGCGGCGGGGCCCAGCAACGTCCCAGCCTTCCTGACCAAGCTGTGGACCCTCGTGAGCGATCCGGACACCGACGCGCTCATCTGCTGGAGCCCGGTAAGGGCCGCCATGGGCCGGGCTGCACAGGAGCTGGGGCACGGGCCGGGGAGGCCTGCTGGGAGGGGCCCTCGGCTGCAGGGAGCAACGGCCTGCCGGGCCGGCCCTCTGCACCCCAAGCGGTCGCAGTTGTCCCTGGGGAAAGCCGCCCCGCCCCCAGGGCTACTCTGGCCGAGTCTGTCGGGAAATGCAGGATGAGTCTTCAAGTTCTTCCGTCTTTGGGGACCGTGTGCCAGCAATGGTCCGGAGGAGGATGAGGGCCTTCAGGAATGGGAGGGTGTGCCTAGTGGCCAGGAGGGAGTGGGAGCTCCAGAAAGACTCGAAGTTCGAGCTGTTCGAAGATCAGACGCCTAAGCAGCTTCGCCTCGGTCTATTGGGGTGGCGTCTCTTCAGTTGCCTGGCAGTGGGGTGGGTATGAGGCAGACCCTGTAGTAAGTAGTAAAGAAAAAGAAGTGAGGCATGGTTTGAAGTTCATGATTCGCAAATATTGTTAGACTTGAAAAAATGGTATGTCCATTTTAATGGAGTTCTTCACCAGTCTTTGGGGCTTATGGAGGTGACTCCAATTCTGTGCCTGGAGTTGGAGACCAGTGTCCTATCTGTGACGAGTTGCCCAGTGAGGACCAAAACCCAGGGCTGGCAACGTGGTCTTAAGACGGGCCTCGCTGATTGAGGAAGCTTTTAGAGGGACTGTGACAGATGGTACCAAACCTGCTTAACCCCAAAACATGGGGCTTTTCGAGCTCTGCTGAGCACCCCCTCACACACACAAGTCCCTTAAGTGTTCAGGAATGAAGAAAAGGCCAAGCCCTCTATCTCAGTTGTCTGTTTGTTGAACCTCTTCATTGCTTAGAAAATGTTTGGAAATAAAGAGGACTAGAAACCCTACAGCTTGGCCTTTGATAGAAAGCTTTTGTTTGTTCTGCTGGTTCCTCCGCTGTGTCAGCCTTCCTTGCCCCTAGACTGAAAAAGTAGCAGTGTCTTTTTTTCCCAAAGGTCATCTTCAATTTGCTCAGAATTTCCTAGCCGAAGAAAATGACCCCATTTTTCTATCTTCCATTACTCTTCCACCTCTGCCTTGTTCACTGTAGCACATAGTAATGGCCCTTACCCAGGTGGAGAAGGAGCATCAGAGATCCTCTGAAATATTCTGAGCATCATCCTACTAGGAAGGCCCATCATGTCTAGTAATCTGCCTGCTGTTTCTGCTTATAGATTGTGAGGTATGGGGATAATGCACCAGTGTACATGCTTCCAGAACCCACTGGGTGTTCTGGGGAGGGACTTTGAGTGGGAAGGGAATCTGATCAGGCCTGTGCCCAGCCTCTATCCACTGGGCACACTGCCTGTGGCCTTGTTGATGTGTTTTCCCACGGGAGGGACAGAGAGCTGACTGAACTCAAGCATTTGGTCCTACCTGGTCTTAACAAAGCAGCTATGGTTGTGTCTGTAGTTGATGCAGGACACAGGATTAGGGGACTGGCATAACAATGAGTACAGAAACCAAGCTCTGGCCAACAACTGGAGGGAAACTATTTTCCAGGCTGGACATGAGCCTGTAGAGACCCATGGAGCTCACTGCCTGGCCCAGAGAAAGGAGATGATGCCGCATCCCTCACCCTTGAAGGCACCCACACCAGTCCTGTAGCCTCTGTTGGCAGAGTCCCAGCATGGATCTCCTTGCAACTCACTATCCATGACCCAGCCCTTAGAGGCCTTGGAAACCTTGGGATCTACACTCTTAAATGTGTTCTCCTTGGTACTGAAGTCTTCTCACCATCCTATCAAAAAACACCCTCCCAGGGCCGGGGATTTAGCTCAGTGGCTCCGCTGCCTGCCTCATAAGCGCAAGGTCCCGAGTTCGATCCCCGGTACCAAAAAAAAAAACCCCAAACACCCTTCTGTTTAAGGAAGAATAATAGCTAATACTCAAGGTTGAATACCTGGGGGAGAACTTCCAGCCCCAGAAACCCATTACTGATCCTGGCTATGTTTGGACTGGCAGCCTTGCTAGTGGGGCACATAATAGGTTACCACCCAAAGAGCTGATGTGGTAGGGGATAGGCAGCCACCCTCTCCTTACAGTGTTGGATCCCCAATCCTAAGCCCTCAATTCAGTTGCACATGCCTCACCCAAGCAGGAAGGGCCTCAAGAGATCCAGACATATCCTGGAGGACAATCCAGTTACATCTGCCCTGGGCTGGACATTTGGTGACCACAAGGTTAGGGTCCACACAAACATGTAAGTGTGGGTATGGATGGCCCTCTCTCAGTGGGCTTCTCAACACTTTGTCCCAAATTTGTCCCTGGATTCGGTATTCAGAGCCATCTCTCAGCCTTGGCTTTCTTTCCTTTATGCAACCTCCTCTCAGTCTACCAAATAAGGCTCTTGCTGGACAGAGGACTTACCTGGAGAATTGTAGCACCCTCAGTGCATTTTATACAAGGAGAAATGCCCAGACAAATGAAAGAGTTAGGCTCAGATCCCAGGTACAGTGACTCTCCATGGGGCAGGAGGGTATATGTGGTAGTGTTTGGTTTGGTTTGATTTTTTTTTTTTTTTTTTTTTTTGGTACCGGGGATCAAACTCGGGTCTTTGCTCTTGCGCAGCAGGCAGCAGTGGTTTGATTTTTTTTTGTTACAGGGTCTCACTATGTAGTTCAAGCTGACCTTGAACTCACTGTGTAGCCCAGGCTAGCTTTGAACTCAAGGCCTTCTCCTGCCTCAGTCTCCCAAGTGCTGGGATTATAGGTATGTGCCACCATGCATAGCCCACATCCCAATTCTGTATAAGGTCAATTTATTTAATCTTCAGAAGGATTGAAAAGAAGCATGAGAAGTAATCTTGGTTATCTCTCATAGGTGAGAATACAGGTAATTTTTCATTTTAAATTTTTCTTATAGTTCTTAAAAAGTCAATTTGTGCTTCATGATTGAAAGATGTTTTCAAATTTATTCACTATGCCTGGTGGATCTTCTAAAGTATCCAGGCCCAATCCTATGCCTCCCTTCCCCCATAGGGCCAGCTGTGGTGCCTCAGCCCCAAGAGCCACCCAAGGAACCTGAGAACAAGGCACAGGGCCACATGCTTATGTCAGACAAGTGCTGGAGCAGTTGGCCATGCAGGTGAAGATGAGCCAGGGATAGACCAAGTCCTTATGATCAGGACCAAGCCACTGAGAGGAACCCAGGTACAAAATTTAAGGAAGAACCCTTTTTTTAAGCCACCCTACCCTTTGGATGGCACTGACAATAAGGGCCTCTTTAATTTTTGGCTGGCACTTCTCTGGCCTTTCCCTAGTCCCAGCTTGATGATGTAATTGTCTTCTCTTTCAGAACAGAAATGACACTATAGGTTGAGGCCAAGGAATCCCTGAGAATGAAGAGGCTACTGATTGCCAAGGCACTGAGCCCAGCTGCCATGGAGGGGCCAGGTCTCTGGTTGGGCAGTCAGGGCAGAGCTGGCTCTGCAGTAAGCAAGAGCAGGGCATCCATCCACTGAGATATTCCTGGCGAAATCACATGAGGAGCTTTAGAAGCAGAGCTCTCAGCCACAGGTGGTGTCTAGAACTCCTGGACAAGCAAGGCTACTCCTGCTCTCCCAGCTCTGACAGCCAGGTGAGCTCATTATCAGACAGCTAACAGGAATTGACAGGCCTCCTGGCCCTCCCCTTGAAGCCCTGGCAGCGGTCCTGAAATGTTGGAGGTCACATACCCCAGCAGCAGGCTACGACATGTGTTGTGTGATCCCAGAGCCAGTAATGACCAGCAAATGGTCCTCATTCAGTGTCTGTATGTTACAGACAAGTTAAGCTTCTTGTGTTTCATTCTGTTCTAACCACAACTTTTCAGTTAGGTGACATAATTTCCATTTTATAGATAAAAAACTGAGACTCAGCTGGATGCAGTGTTGTGCACCTGTTCCAGCACTTGAGAGACTAGAGTGGTAGGGTCTTGAGTCCGTTCATGAGTTCAAGACTGGCCTGGGCAATATAGTGAGATGCCCATCTCAAAGCAGAAGAAAACTGAGGCTTAAAAACATTAAGCTTTAATAAAGTAAGTTAGAAAATGGAAAAGACAAAGCTGGGCATGGTGGCTCACACCTGTAATCCCAGCACTCAGGAGGCTGAGGCGGAAGGATTGCTGTGAATTGAAGGCTAGTTTGGGCTACTTAGTGAGTTCAAGGCCAGCCTGAACTACATAGTGAGACCCTGTCTCAAAAAAATAATTTTTTTTAAAAAAATAAAATGCAGGAGCCAGGGATTTAGCTCAGTGGTTCCACCGCCTGCCCTGCAAGTGCAAGGACCCAAGTTTGATCCCCAGTCCAAAAAAAAAAAAAGAAGAAGAAGAAAATGCAAAGACCAAATCCAAAGTTCTATAGTAATCCAGCTGTCACTCCCTGCCTTTCCCACACATTTCCTGAGCAGAAGGCTGAAGAAACCCCTATTTACTTCCTTCTTAGTTAGACTCCACCTGCCACTAGAGCAATGAGACAGCTGGCCTATAGAATACTTTGAATTTTTTTCCTTTGCAGTACTGGGAATTGAAGTCAGAGCCTCATTCATGCTAGGCAAGCACTCTGCCACTCAGCTACATCCCTAACCCTTTTTATTTTATTTTGACACGGGGTTTTGCTAACTTGCCCAAACTGGCCTTGGACTCATGATTCTCCTGCCTCAGCCTCACAAGTAGCTGGGATTCCAGGCATGAACCACTTTACCCAGCTTGGTCACAGCTCTTTATTGTGGGGGCAGGAAGAGCAGCCCACTCCTGAGAGCCACTCATTTTTGGAGGAATTGCCTCTGTGCAAGGAGCCCAGCAGGGATATAGCACCTACCCTGGAAGAAGCAGGTGGCTCTGGTCAGGTATAAGAGGGCTGGGCTGGAACCTGCCTCTGGCTTCAGGGCTTTCCTCAAGCCATGGCAGTACTGGCTGATATTGCTAGTGTCCCCTTTCTGACCTTTTTGGCCCCTTGACCAAGCTACATGTGTTCATTGGGCCTGAAGGTTGCAGTGTGTGGGGTCTAAGGTTGAGGGGCAATGCACTGGTCATTGTGCCTGTCTTACAGGTGTGAACTAAAGCTAACCTGAGAAGCAATAAAAGTACTTAGAGAAGTCATAGAAGACTCAGTAAAGGACAATACTAAGACTGAGAAAGGTGTGGCGGTGGCCACAGAACTGGACCACCTATGGCTCCCCAGTTCACTGGATGCAGTTCCAGCCATTGGCTCAGACTCTTGTTCCTCCTAAAGTCCCAATTCCTGGGACCCAGAGACTAGTCAGGCAGCCAAACCCAGGAAGCCAGAGCACACCACAAGCCTCATCCTTGGATGGGCAGGGAAAACTAAAACAGAGAGGGCACATTGCTGGGCAGATGTCTGGAGCAAAGGAGAGCTGACATGGTGGTTCACACCTGTAATCCTAGCTATTCAAGAGGCAAGGAGAGTGAGATTAGAAGCCTGGGCAACATAGTAAGACCTTGTCTCAAATTAAAATTTTATTTTTTTTAATTAAATTTTTTAAAAATTAATTTTATTAGGGGCCGGGGATTTAGCTCAGTGGTGCCGCTGCCTGCCTTGCATCTTGGTTCTTATTTTTTCCCCATTCCCCTGCCCTCCCTTCAACCCCTCCACCCCTCTCTACTTACAAAGACTTTGTTTCCAAATTTTATTTTATTCCATTCCCCCCCCTCAAGCCCCCTTCCCTCCCTATGTACAAAAGCTTTGTTTCTATTTTTTCCTTCCATTTTTACTTATTTTTCTCCATCCTTTCTTCCTCCCTCTTCAAATTAAAATTTTTAAAGGGCTAAGATGTAGTGGTAGAACGCTTGCCAACATTTATAAGACCCTTGGATTCAGTCTCCAGTGGGGGATGAGACTTGAAGCATGTGGCCACTTCACCACATGAAATATAATGGCCACTAACCTGGGATCATGGAGCCTTTGAGAAAATATGCAAATTCATAGAGTTGCTCTATATAAAAGTATATACATGCTGCATTTTGTATGGATTTCAAATTGTCCACAATGCTATAGAAAATAGGCCATAAACTCCAAATTCACTATAAGACTTGGAATTCACTGACAGCTGTGTTAGGGTAGAAAAGCGGTGCTTACCACCAGTAGCTAGGCAGCCTTATTGTCGTGTCCTTCCACAGTTCCAGTGACAGGGCCGGGGATTTAGCTCAATGGTGCCACTGCCTCCCTCACAATTCCAGTGACATATTTTTGTTATACTCAAGTATAAATATAATCTCTCAGAATTGCTTGTGGTCAGCAAAGGAGGTCCCTTGAACCACTGACGTAAGGATAAGAGACATAGGGCTCTCTGATTCACTAGCCAACCCTCTAAACTCATAATGACCCTTAAGATAAGGCTTGCTTGACATAGTCCACTTGGATTCTACATTTACAGCATAAGAAACCAGTGAACTGTCATCAGTAGTGGCGTACACCTCTAATCTCAGCACTCTGAGGCAGGAGAATGAAAGTTCAAGCCCAGCCTGAGCAACTTAGTAACTTTGCACAAGTGTCTCAAAATGAAAAGTAAAAGGGATGGGAATGTAGCTCAGTGTGAAAGTCCTGGGTTCAATCTCTGGTACCACAAAAAGAAAAAGAAAAGAGAAGAGAAGAGAAAACAGAGCTCAAGCATTAGAAGACAGATCAGGATAGGGTGAATCATACAATTGCTTGTGCTCTATTCAGAGGGAATTTCAAACTCAAGTGCAGCAAGAGAGAACCTGACAGCCCAGGCTGTGGGGAAACAGACAGGTAGGGTATGTGGGGCATGATACAAGAGAGGAGAAAGTTCAGCCAAGAAAGGGCTTCTGCAGTCTGCAGATGAGCTCTCTGGAGTCTTGGCTGAATGTTGATTTGCTCTTGTAGACCGTAGACCTTTACCAAGGAGGGTGAGGAACTACTAGGGGAGCAATTCAGGCTCACACAAGACCACAAATTATTTGCATTCTCATCAGCCAGAGTAGAAAAGCTACTGTGGATAAATACAGAGAGAGTTCACCAGAGACCTAAGAGAACCACAGTTTGGATATGGTGCTAAAAGCCCTGAGTGAATGCCATGTAAACAGGCTTCGAAACAATCCTGGAAATGATGGGGCCAACCTGCACTAAGTAACTGCCCTCAAGTACAGCACTCCAGAAAGGAAGAATAACAGAATCCAGACATGCAAGTACCCATTTCCTAGACCCAGTCAAATTGAGTAAGCCAGTAGGCAAGAAAATGTGATTTGCACAGGAGGGGTAGAGTTCATAGTAATAGACTCAGGTTTGATTGGATGACCAGCAAGGACATTAAAATAATTTTAACCATGTTCTATGTGCTCAAGAAGGCAAAGCAAATGAAAGACATGGAGACAGAACTGGAAGATAAAAGAAAAAACCAAATTAGACAAAATGTCATTGGAGCTAATCTTCCAGGCAGAGGAATTCTATGTTACTTACATAGATCTTAACCTTCCAGGAGGCGGCACACAACCCCCACCCCTGTCAGTGCATCAAGGTCAGCGCTGACAGTTGCAGCTGTTGCTCTTGACACAGAGGGGTCACGCTCCCAGAAATGTGCATGACCCCAACTAATTGTGAGAAAAACATCAGACAAATCTAAGCTGAGAGACATTCTGCAGAATACCTGGCCAGCCCCCCTCAAAACTGTCAAGGTCATCAAAAACTAGGAAAGTCTGAGAAACTGTCACACCCAAAGAAATGTAAGAAGACATGACAGCTAAATGTAATGTCATATTTTGGACACTGTCCTGGAGCAGAAGGAGGACATTTGAATGAAGAATAAAGTATAGATTTTCCCAAGAAGGTATCCATTGAACTTTGACAGATATGCTATACAAATAAAGTAAAATGTCTGTAACAGGAAAACTGGATGTAGGATGTATGAAACCTCTCTATACTATCTTCCCAACTTTTCTGTAAATTTATAAGTACTCTAAAATTGAAAGGTTATTTTCTAAGGTCACTGATGTGAATTAATTATAAATTAGAAAGTTTAACAGAAAAGGTCACTGAATAAGAAACAACAGAAAGAACTCACTGTGAGGGCCGGGGATTTAGCTCAGGGCACCATGCCTTCAAGTCCAAGATCCTGAATTTGGTCCCCTGTACCAAAAAAAAAAAAATAACAGTGATTACAGGTAAGGTTAACAAACATTAGCAGAGCCTCAGTGGGATAATAATCATGAAGTATAATAAGATTGAAGTTTCAAGGAAAAGGGGAGAAGGGAATGTTTGTATAAATAACAGCTAAGTTGGGTGTGATGGCACATGCCTATAATCTCAGCACTAAGGAGACTGAGGCAAGAGGTAAGTTTGAGGCCAGCCTGGGCAACATAATGAGTTCAAGGCCAGCCTGAATACATATCAAGACCCTGTCTCAAAAAACCAAAAATAAATAAACTTAACACATAAACAGAAAAAGAAGGAGAATCATATGACCATCTGAACAATGGCAGGAAAAATACTTGACAAAATTCAACATCTTTTTTTCCAAAACAGTTAAGGTTTATTAAAAATGATAAAATATAGAAACACCAGATTCTCATTTTAAAGTAAAATTTAAAAAAAAGAACCAAGATACATCATGTAAAGGTACAAGATCTCAATGATGAATGTAACTGTATTTTATACCGAAAATGTACCAATAAACTTAATGGGGAAAAAGAAAAATAAAAGTTGACAGCATCTCCCAGAACTTTTCTAGCACTGTACCCATTCTTGTCACTATTACAAAACAGTTCCAAATCCAAAGTAATAAATGGACCTGCTAGTAAACATTTTTCTCATGGTTCTAAGCCCTACCCAAATTACTTTTCTAAATTTTATATTTGTAGCTTTTCAAGAATGGGTAGCATTTTTTAAAAATGATTAATATTTGTGAGAACTGGACTTACTTTATTCATATTAAAATAACATTCGTTTTGGGTTTGTTTTGGTACCGAAGATCAAACTCGGGACCTTGCACTTGTGAGGTAGGCAGTGGAACCACTGAGCTAAATCCCTGGCCCTCAACATTTTTTTTTTTTTTTTTGGTACCGGGGATCAAACTAAGGTCCTTGAGCTTGAGCAGCAGGTGGAGAAACCACTGAGCTAAATCCCCGGCCCCCCTCAACATTTTATTTTTTGGTACCAGTAATCAAACTCGGGACCTTGTGCTTGCGAGGCAGCTGCAGCGCCACTGAGCTATATCCCCGGCCTAATTCAACATTTCTTGATGAAAACTCACCAAGCTAGGAGAAAGGAGACAAAGACACCAAACCTATTGGATAATAGCCCCACTCTACTCTAGAAAGATCTAGGGTTGCAGATAGAGCAGTTAGGACTTAAACATGCATTTTTTTTGCTGGTAGGGAACAACTCATAACACTAAAATACAGAATCATCTAGCCTCCATACACAGCAGGAAAATCTCAGTTTACGTGAGAAAAGACCAAAATGCCAGCAGCTGAGAGGGCATAGCTATTACGATTACAGACAATGACATCAAAGCAGCTCTTATTTTATTTATTTTTGAGTACCAGGGATCGAACTCGGGACCTTGCACTTGCAAGGGAGGTGGCGGAACCACTGAGCTAAATCCTCTAGCTGCAGCTCTTAATAAAAATGCTGTAAGAAAGCCAAGTATGATGGTACACACCTGTAATCCCAGTACTCTGGGAGGCTGAGCCAGGGAGATCCCAAGTTTGAGCCTCCCTGGACAATTTAGTGATTGAGAACTTGTCTCAAAATAAAAATTTTTTAAAGCCTGGGGATGTAGCTCAATGTGAAGACTCTGGGGGGCCGGGGATTTAGCTCAGTGCTTTCGCTGCCTGCTGCGCAAGTGCAAGGACCCGAGTTCAATCCCCTGTACCAAAAAAAAAAAAGATGCAAAAGACTCTGGGTTCAATCTTCTGTACAAAACAAAAAGCTACAAGAAGCAAGGTCAATATGAAGATCTTGCTAGATGTGGTAGCACATGCCTGGAAGCCCAGCTATCAGGAGACTGAGGCAGAAAGATCACAAATAAGAGGTTCAGGATTCAGATCAATGGTACTGTGCCTGCCTTGCAACCTCAAGGACCTGAGTTTGATCCCCGGTACCAAAAAAAAAAGGGGGGGGCCCAGGATTTAGCTCAGTGGCATTGAGCCTGCCTGGCAAGCACAAGGTCCTGAGTTCGATCCCCGGTACCAAAAAAAAAAGGGGGGGGCCCAGGATTTAGCTCAGTGGCATTGAGCCTGCCTGGCAAGCACAAGGTCCTGAGTTCGATCCCCGGTACCAAAAAAAAAAAAAGATGACAAATATGAGCCCAGCTTGGCAAGACTATCTCAGAATTTTGGTTTGTTTTTGAGACAGGGTCTCACTATGTAGTTCAGGCTCGTCTTAAACTCCCTGTGGAGCCCTGGCTGGCTTTAAATTTGCTTTGAACTGGCTTTGAACTCTATCTCAGTTTGCCAGAGTGTTAAGATTACAGGTGTGCATCACCACATCCAGCTTCAGAATTTCTTAAAAGAGGGGTAGGTACTGGGGCTGTAGCTCAATGGTAAAACACCTCTCACTTTAATCCCTAGTACTACCACCAAGGAAAAGTCTTAACAACGAATATAACTAACAAATACAGAAAATGGAGGTCAGCAACAAGATAGAGGTAATAAAGGAAAATCAGAAAACTTGGTGACAGAGCAACAGAAAGTGCCCCCGTGTGACAGCAGAGGGGAAAGCAAACAACCTCATGAACATGGGTAACAATTCCAAAGGTTTCAACATGATGTCATCAGTGCCCTAGAAGAGTGGAAAAGTGCAAGAAAAAATGAAATAATGACTAAAACCCTGCAAATTAGACCAACTGCACCAAGATACATTGTAACCAAACTTCTGAAAATGAGACAAACTAGAAAGTCTGAAAGCATCCAGAAGAAAGAACATGGCCCTGTGAGCCAGCAATGACTCCCACAACTACACATCTCCCATCCAAAACCAGGGATCCAGAAGGGAAGATAAAAAGAAAAAGGACTGGGGGCCGGGGATTTAGCTCAGTGGTTTCACCACCTGCTGTGCAAGTGCAAGGACCCAAGTTCAATCCCCAGTACCAAAAAAAAGAAAAAAGAATGTCCTCAGAATTAATATTCCAGTGAAAATGTGTTGGGTATGAAGGTGAAGTAAGCATCCTTAAAATCAAAGAAAAATAGAAAAATATGTTGCTGGCAAATCTACTCAGAAAGAATTGCAATTTGCTTTTCCTTCTGTTGTCACAGGGGGGCACTTTCTGCTTCTCTTGTCACCAAATTCTCTGACTTGCTTTGTCACCTCCCTCTTGCTGCTGACTCGTCCAATGTTGTTCTGTATTTGTTAGTTATGTTTCTTGCGAAGACTTTTTTTTTGGTGGTGGTGGTACTGGGGATTGAACAGAAGCATTCTACCACTGAGATGTACCCCCAGTCCCCACCCCACCCCCTTTTTTTTCCAGTACTGGGGATCAAACTCAGGACCTTGTGCTTGCCAGGCAGGCACAGCACCACTGAGCTACATCCCTGGCCCCCCACCCCATTTTTAAATTCTTCAGCCAGAGGGTAAATGATGCTGTATAGAAACTTGGAAGGAGAATCAGTAGGAGCAGTAACTACCTACATATGAGAGGAAATCTCTCTAGTTCTTTAAAATATGTGGGAGGTTAGAATCACAATATGTAAGTGTTGTGTAGATGTGATATATAAAATAGCCACACATAAAGTAGGAAGTACAACCCATGGGTCAGTTGCCTGGTTTTGTAAATAAAGTTTTATTGGAGAACACTGTCGTTGGCTCCAGTGATAGATCAGCCGTCATGGTATCCTGATGCTTATGTTCAGGTCACCCTTGTGTACTAGCCTGACACTGCAGCAGTGTCCATACCATTGACTTCACTCCATCTGGTTACATGGGCCCTGCATCATCTCACACTATCTTAGGAAGAAGGGTGGGTGGGTACAGTGCAATGAGATAATTTAAGAGAGAGCACATCCACATAGCTGTATGTACAGGAAAAAGCATGGTATCTGTGGTTTCAGACATCCACTGGGTGTCTTGGGATGTATCCCTATGGATGTGAGGCATACCGTACAACCAAATACTAACCAGGAGAAAGATAGTATGACTATATTAATATCAAAGTAGACATGAGAGCAAAGAAACTTACCTTTTTTTTGGTACTAGGAATCCAACTCAGATCTTTGCGCTTGTGAGGCAGGTGGTGGAACCACTGAGCTAAATCCCAGGCCCGAAACTTACCCTTTTTAAAGAGGGGTATTGTATTGGGACTGGGAGTAGTATAGCTCAGTGGCAGAGTGGTGCTTACCATATATGAGGCCCTGGGTTCTATCCCCAGCACCACAAAGAGAGAGGAGGGAGTTATTATGGTTTGTGTCTAAATGTCCCATCCCCACCCCACCCCCAGTCATCATGTAGTCATAGGTGGTACTTTTCAGAGGTGGCTGGATCTAGAGTGTGTGATGCTGGCATCAAAGGTGTGTGATTACTAAATTAGTCCACTGTTTGGTTTGGCATAGTTCTGGGTGTGGATAATGGGAAGGCCCACCCTGAGAGAGTGCTTCGTCCCCTAAGGGTGTGTGGCCTGGATAGAATGTGAGGGACACAAAGAGGGTTGCTGTTGTGAATTCTTGTTGCTTGCTGCTTGGCTACTTCGCTGCTTTGCTGTCTTCTGCTTGCCATAAACTGTTTCTCCTCTGCCATGCCACCCTGCCTCAGAGCCAGCCAACTATGAACTGAAACCTCTGGAAACTATGACCTACAATAAACCTTTCCTCTTTTAACTTTGGGTGTGGAGTGTTTTGTCTCAGCAATGAGAAAAGTAACTAAGACAGGGATGTTATATAATAAAGGGTGAATACACCAAGCAGATAATAATAATCCTGAATATGTATATCTAACAACAAAGTATCAAACTACATGAAACACAGTGGTCAGGATTCAAAGGAGAAACTGATCTGCAGTTAGAGTCACAAATGTCAGCATTCATCTCTCCATGATCAGTTGCAGTTGAGAGCATTTCCGGGTGGAGAAGATTTGAACAATAAACCAACCACCTTGACCTGTAGACATCTGTAGATGGTCTTTCAAGCTAGATCAGAGCCCAGCTTCTCAAGCACTCACAGGACATGTTACCAGCACAGAGTGTCCTGGGCCATGAAACAAACCTCAGCTGAACTGAAATCATACAAAAATGTGTTTTATATGGGGCCGGGGATTTAGCTCAGTGGTTCCAGCACCTGACTCGCAAGCGCAAGGTCCCGAGTTCGATCCCCAGTACCAAAAAAAATGTGTTTTATGACTATAAAGGAATCAATCATTAACCAACTGACTGTAGGGAAATCTCCAGACATTAAAGCAATGCTTAGAGAGAAATTATTCCATTAAATGACTATTTTAGAAAAAGAAGGATGGCCTAAACATCCACTTAAGAAGCAAAAAAATTTTAAAAGCCCAGTCAGTGCAGGGCCGGGGATTTAACTCAGTGATACCGGGCCTGCCTGGCAAGTGCAAGATCCTGAGTTTGATCCCTGGTACCGCCCCCCCCCTCAAAAAAAGCCCAGTGCAGTGGTACACACCTGTAATCCCAGGTGCCCAGGAGGCTGAGGCAGGAGGATCCCTTGAGCCTATGAGTTCGTTATCAGTGTGGGCAACACAGTGAAGCTTCATCTCAAAATACAAAAGAATCAAAAATCAGAGTAAATCCAAAGGAAGCAGAAATAGTAAAGACAACAGAAGAAATCAGTGAAATTACAAACAGTAAGAAAAATGAACCCAACAATTTTCTTTGAAACAATTTTTCTTTGAAAAATTGACGAACTCATAACAAATGATAGAAGATACAAATTAATATCGGGAAGTAAAAATGTGTCACTGCAGACTACAGAATGTGAGCTGATGAGGAAGTACTACTGAAAACTTGGATTTTGCAACTTGGATGAAATTTCCTTCAGTTCCTTGAAAACCGTAAACTACTGGTCTCACCCAGGATGAAATAGCAACCTCAGGGGCCAGGGATGTAGCTCAGTGGTTCCACCTCCTGCCTCACAAGTGCAAGGTCCCGAGTTCAATCCCCAGTACCAAAAAAAAAAAAATAGTTTGAAATAGCAACCTGAAAAGACCTAAACCAGTTGGATTCCCAGTTATAAATCTTCTGTAAGAGAAATGTCCAGGCCCAAATGCTTTCACTGATAAATTCCAACCATTAAAAAATAGCACTGGTTTCTAAAATCCTTCCAGAAATTATCAAAGGAAGATGCATTTCACTGTTCACTTTATGAGGCCAGCATTCCTTTAACATCAAAATTAGACAAAAACAGCCCAATATTGTTCATATCGTCTTCCACAAGAGGTAAGCAAATCAAGTTAGCTCAAATCCTTTGTAGAGAAAGGGTATAAGCTGGTTGTGGTGGACACCTGAAATCCCAGCACTCTGGGAGAGTGAGGCAGGATTGCAGGTTCAAGTTCAGCCTAGACAACTTAGTGAGACCCTCCCTCAAAACTGTAAAAGAGCTGGGGATGTAACTTATTGTATAGCTTCTGTATATTCTCCTATAAAATCCACATCCTCTCTAGATGATTTATAATACATAATACAGTGTAAATGCTGGGTAAACAGCTGTACTATATTGTTTAAAGAATGACAAGAAAAAACAAATTTACATGCTTAGTTCTGATGCAGTTTTGTTTTTTTAAGCCACAGGTGGTTGAATCTGCAGATGTGAATTTTCTTTAGTATTTTTTTCCAGGCTTCTTTCTGCTGTAATGCATGCTGATGCAATTAATGGTTCCCTGCATTCTTTTGATACTCCATTCTTTTTGTTTCTGTTGTTTAGATTGCATAATCCTTATCAATAGATTTTCAGGCTTCCTGATATTTCTCTTCAGTTCACTTCCCATCAAGCTACTAGTGAGCTTCTCATGTTAGTTTTTGTACAAGAATTTCCATTACAGCCAGGTGTGTGCCACATGCCTGTAATCCCAGCACTTGGGAGGCTGAGGCACAATCGCCACAAGTTCGAGGCCAGTGTGAACTATAAAACAAGACCCCCGCTTCAAAAAAAAAAAAAGAATTTTCATTAGAATCTTCTTTATTGTTGAGTGTGGTGGAGGCTGAGCCAGGAGGACTGCAGAGAAATCGAGGCCAGCCTGGGCTCCATAGTGAGTTCAAGGCCAACCTGAACTACATAGTGAGACCATGTCTCAAAAAAAAACCCTCTTTATGACTTTTACCGCTTAATGATTTTGTGTTTGATAGTACTTTTTTTTTTTATCCCTTTAAACAGTTTTCTTCAGTTCTCTGAAAATATTTACAAAGACTTATTTGATGCCCTTTTGCATCTGATGTCTTGTGCTGCCACACTCTCACAGGCAGATTCTGCTCCCTGCTTCCCTGTGCAGGGGACACATTTTCCTGTTTTTTGTGCACATCTTGTGTTTTTTGGTGAAGATCTGTACATTTTAGCTGGTATATTGTAGGATTTAAGAGTGGCTGTCCCCCTTCTCTTGTGTCTGATTCTGCCCTGTTTCTTGCTGGCTAGTGACTTGGCAGGCTCACACCCAGTTCTCAAGCTCTAGTAATTATTGCTTGGTTGCTCTGTTGTTTTTTACAGTACCATTGAGTTGAGTACACCTGGTTGGGACAGTTATGTGTAGTTAAATCTGGTCCCTGATGAGTTTGGTTTTTGGGGTAAGGTTGTTGGGCTGCTGTTTCTGTAACGGGATTGTTGGTTGAGCAGTGGCCATTTTAGCTCAATCTTAGGCTCTGCTCAGGTAAGCAGACTGGCATAGGGTGTAGCCTGTTCTCATTTGGAACTGTGGTTACGAGCAATCAAAGGCTTGTGCTTTCCCACACCATTCCACAGGAAATAGACTCTAAGGAGTAACAGAGCACTCCTGCTCCCTTAGGCAAAGCCAGGAACCCACTAAGCTGGGCAATAGTCACTGTCCTTAGCTTGATGCTCCCAGCAAGGATATCCTACCCTACATGGTAGCTGACTTGAGGGTGATGGTTCTCAGTTGCTGGGCCTGGGGTAGAGTCTCCATCTAGGGGCAGGACTGGAGCTGGGGAAGGACCTGCCCTTGAAGCACTCACCCAAGGCCCCAGGTGAGCAGCCTGCCTCTCTGCTGCTCCCAGAGATTTCCATAAGCCTTGAGGGAAACTAAGATGAGGAGCCTTCTTCTGACCCTAGCTTCCAGCCTGGGGCTGCAGTGACTGGGAGTGGGTGTTGGCTGTCTTGGAGTTGCTGTAGAGTTCACTAAGCAAATGTTGCTTCATTTGTTAGACACTTTAGGACAATTTCAAAAGACTTTTAAGTGGTCTAATAAGCTCTGTATTTTGCTGCAAAGTGCTCCACAGACTTCTCACTTTACCTGCCCAAAAGTAGAATCAGAGGATAGTTTTTCTGCAGGCTGATTCTGGACTAGCAGTGTTTTTTCCCTTGGTGGGTCACTGCCTCTTAATGGGCCTCTGTGGCTGCTGATGCTCTGGCCCAGTGGTGGTGAACCTATGGCACATGTTTTGGAGTAGGATGTTTATCACTGAAAGGTCTAAAAAACATTTGCTATCTTTACTCTAGGCCCTGGCTGCTTACAAAGTTCTCTCTGGTTTTTGTGTTTGGCATTTCCATTATAAAATGTCAAGGATAGGGGCCAGGGATTTAGCTCAGTGGTTTTGCCACCTGCTGCGCAAGCACAAGGGACCTGAGTTTGATCCCCGGTACCAAAAACAAAAACATAAAATGTCAAGGTGTGAATCCCTTTTAATTTTTCCTACTTGGAGTTTCTTTCACTTTTGGATATTCTTCATAAGATTTGAGATGTTGGGCCAGGGATGTAACTCAGCAGCACAGCACCTCCCTGGCAAGCTCAAGGCACTGGGTTTGATTCCTGGTACCAAAAAAGAAAAGTGGGAAAAGAAAAAGACCCAAGAAAAAGCCCCTTAAAAAAAAAACCTTTAGCCGGGAATTTAGCTCAGTGGTGCCGCCTTCTGCCTCACAAGTGCAAGGTCCTGAGTTCAGTCCCTGGTACCAAAAAAAAAAAAAAAATCACTAGCCCAGGCTGGCCTCATATACTCTGGGATCCTCCTGCCTCAGCCTTCTGAGTGCTGGGATCACAGGTTGTGTGCCACCATGCCTGGCTTAAATACATTCTTTTTATCCCTTCTCTGTTATTCCTATGGTGGCTAACTTGTACATTGGATTTCTTACAAATCCCTGTGGCTTTTTATTCATTCTTTCCTTTCTTCAGTCTGATCTCAACTGACTTATGTGTTTGTTGATTCCTGCTTCTCCCTGCTCATATCTTCTCTTGAGTTCCTCTAGTGAATTTTTAACTTGAGTTGTGCTTCTCAAGTCTAGAATTTTGACTTGAGGCTTTTTTCACTGAAATTTTTCATTTGGTGACATATGCTCATGTGTTAGTTCTCCAGATGTGATTTTCTTTAGTTCTTTGAACATGTTTAAAATAGCCAACTTAAACTCTTGAGTAATTCCGACACCTCAACTCCCTCAGAAAGTTTATATTGATTACTTCTTGCCTTCTATATAAGCTATAAATTAGTATAATGTGGCAATTGGAGACTAGATGTTCCCCTTCCCTGGCATTTATTGTTGTTCTTTGTTGTCATTATTTGCCTGGTGGCTTTATTTATTTATTTATTTATTTAGACAAGGTGTCACTATGTAGTTCAGTCTAGCCTTGAACTCACTATGAAGCCCAGGATGGCCTCAAACTCACAGGGATCCCCCTACCTCAGCCTCCCAAGTGCTGAGATTATGCCTGGCCAATGATGACTTTTTAAACTAACTGCGGAGTCTTTTTTTGTTGGTAGCCACTTCAGTGTTCAGTTAGCTCAGTCTGGACCAGAAGTTTCTTAAATGCCTGGAGCCAGTGAGTTTCTGTATGTTGCAGTTCACCTTGAACACTGAGCCTGCTTATGCCAGGCCCCAGGGTCAGCAGAGGTGAGAGCTCAGGGCTCTCCTGGGTCTCTACCAGACATGTGTACAGCTTTACAAATACATGTGGGGCCAGGGATTTAGGTCAGTGGTTCCACCGCCTGCCTTGCAAGCACAAGGACCCAAGTTCGATCCCCGATACCAAAAAAAAAAAAGAGTAGGAAATACAAATACATGTGACCTCTGCATTCCCAGAAATTCTCAGACCTTTTCAGGGCCCTAATGATCTTTTACCAGCTTTGCCTTTTAAATTTTCTGGTTGCCCCCTGTTAACACTGCAGCAGCCATGGCCTTTAAAAATTGCCTCTTGCCAGGAATGGTCATGCATGCCTGTAATCTCAACACTTGGGAAGCAGGAAGATCAACACAAATTTAAGGCCAGCCTAGGCTACATACTAAGTTCGTGGCCAGCCCAAACTACATAGGGAGACACTGTCTCAAAAAAAAACCTAAATGAATAAATAAAAATTACCTCTCGCCAGGCATAGTGATACATGCCTGTAATGCTAGCTACTCAGGCAGTTAAGGCAGAGGATTAAGAATTCCAGACCCAAGCAGGGGCATAGTGGCACAAACCTGTAATCCCAGCACTTTGGAGACTGAGGTAGGAGGATTGCTGCAAGTTGGAGGCCAGCCTGAATTAGAGTGAGACCCTGTCCAAAAAAACCGAATGAATGAATGAATGAATGAATACATGCGTGCAAGCCAACCATCCTTGGACTTAAGATTCTTTCAGGGAGTTGCCTGATACTGAGAGTCCTCTGTAATGGGTCCTGAAGGAGATGCAGCCATTGGCTTTCAGGACTGCAGGAGGAGAGTGAAACCAGGGCAGAACACTGCTATGCAGTTCACTGCTGAGAGGGACAGACTCAACTGCTGCCATTTTCTGGTTCCTTTTCACCTGGAAGAGTTGACGGCATTTCTTACCACTTTTCTCTCTGCTGCTTTGAAGCCCTCCACCGCCATTTCCACTCACTGGACTGTTAGTGCCTGTGCTTATTTTTGTGCTTCTATGTTGGAAAGCAGCTCTGGTGCTAACCCAGTACCATCAAGCTGTCTGGTTTCTTCTCACATCATAGTTCCCACCCCCAACAGGGAGATGCCTGTTCCATTGTCCCTTACTGATTGATTCCTGGGCTCAGGTAACATCATTTAGCTGCCATCTCCTCCCGCTGTGTGGCCCTGTGCACCCTTCCATCCATGCCGCCTCCCTTGCCACCATGGCTGAGTTCAGAAAGTGCTACACATGCAGGGCTTGACAGTCTGTAGTCTTGTTTCATGTACCAGCAGAATGAGGTTGCATTTCTGGGCGTGACTGTATCTTCCTCCAAGACTGGCAGCAATTTGTTCCCATTTCCTTGGCTGTCTCAGTTTGGAGTCTTAGTTGTTCTCAAGGAAAATTCGCTGAATAAGCTAAATGCCAGTTCCCTAGAGCATGGGGCCAGAGTGCTGTGGGCTTTTCATGAAAGTAATCACAGCATGCAGGAACCATGGGGCAGGAGAACTCGTCTATGGCTGTGTGGCCAGCCCTGGGACTCTTAGACAGGATACAGACCTGGGTCCCAGGAGTAAGTGCCACCTTATGCCAGCCACAGGATAACTGTCTGCTACACGTGGCTCCCATGTGTCTCCTGACAGAGCGGGAACAGTTTCCACGTGTTCGACCAGGGCCAGTTTGCCAAGGAAGTGCTGCCCAAGTACTTCAAGCACAACAACATGGCCAGCTTCGTGCGGCAGCTCAACATGTGTGAGTTTGGGGTAGAGTGCAGCAGAGGCCTGTGCTCAGTTGACCCTGTGGTGGGAGGCAAGCTCTGGCCTGGCTTGCCTTAGGGCCGGGGTGGAATGCCATTACTGGGGTGGGAGGGTCCTAGGGATTAAAACTGGGGGCCCCATGGGGGAGCCATTCTCCTGCACACAAGGAGTGGAACTGGGGCCTGGGATGCAGCTCAGAAGTGGTGGACTTGTGTAGTGTAGGAGGAGCTGGGGATAGGGTCTCCCTCAGATGGAGACCACCCAGCCATGATGGATGTGGATTCTGGCCTCTGCCCTCATGCAGAGCTACCCTCCCCTGTGTATGCAGATGGCTTCCGGAAAGTGGTCCACATTGAGCAGGGTGGCCTGGTCAAGCCGGAAAGGGATGACACTGAGTTCCAGCACCCGTGCTTCCTGCGTGGTCAGGAGCAGCTCCTGGAGAACATCAAGCGGAAAGTGACAAGCGTGAGTCCCCAGCCTTGGACTCCCTACAGGCTGTGTGTGGAGCAGCGTCCACACAGTGTGCCCCTGAACCATTCCTCTCTGACACCCTCCACACACACGTTCAGCACCCTCCAGCCTTCACGCTGACAGGCCCATGGCTCTTCCTACTGCATCCCAGGTCTCCCTCTCCCTGGTACCCACTGCAGCATAGGAGCTGCCATGCTCCAGTGCCACCTCAGAGACTCTTGCTCCTCACCCTCAACCCAGGTATCTACCTTGAAGAGTGAAGACATAAAGATCCACCAGGACAGTGTCACCAAGCTGTTGACAGATGTGCAGCTGATGAAGGGGAAACAAGAGTGTATGGACTCCAAGCTCCTAGCCATGAAGCAGTAGGTCCTGTGGCTTGGGAGGGATAAGGGGGCCTACCCCTACCCATCCTTGCAGAAAGCTGCTCTCAACCTTCCCCAGGCCCACTTGCTATGGCTTCTGTGGCAGAAGCTTTTGAAGCTGGCAGCCTCTAAATCTAGAACATTCCTAGGTAGTGCCCACTGCCTTTGCTCCCCATTCCCTTTCTGAGCCCTGCTCCTATCCTGGGAAGGTCAGCCTTGGCCTGGTTCCTGTGCCCACAGGAAAGCTGAGTACCCTGACTGCCCTCTAGGCCCCTCCCTGAGGGCCAAGGCTGTCAAGAGGCTGACCCCAATACCTAGCATCACCTGGCACAAGGTATCACCATTCTCAGATGCTTCCACACAGGCCTGGGGGAAGAAAGTAGTACTTTCTAGAAGCCCTGTGGCCACTACATGACTGCCCTGTGGCCCCCTCAGGCAGGACCTGGGTTCTTGGGAATACCTTGGCAGCAACCTAGCACATGAGTACCACTGAGAAGCAGGCAGGGAGGGCCATACCTAGTAAATCAGCATAGGTCTTCTCCTATCAACTTTGGGACCCTTGAAAGGCCCTTGCCCTTGGCTCAGTGTGACAGGTCCTCACAACTTCCGTGTGGTAGCAGAAGCCCTGGTGTTCAGACTCCCCACATCTGGGTCTAGCAGAACCCACTGGCTTTGTGGTTGGAATCAGGCCAAGGGGATAGATGTGGCCATTTTCCAGGGTATGGGCTCCAGTTGGTTCAGGGGCTTTGCACAGCAAAGCCCACCAGAGCAGTAGGAGTGAATTATGGCCCTGCTTACCTGGGTGGGGGTAAAAGTGGTTAGATAACTCATCCCCACCCATAGGATTTCTCCATGTGTCACTGTGGCCCAAAGAGCCTGGGCTACTCTGGAACCTGTCCCTCAGGCTCAGTGGGGGTAGGTGGCTGAGGCTGGGGGCACGGCTCCAGGAAGGCCTTGGAAGGCTAGGCAGCATTGGTGCAGGATGTTGAGGTGTACCAGGCAAGGCCTACCCTGGTTCTGCCCCACCCCCACCCCCGCCTTTCCATCCCACCATAGCATTTTTGTGTCTTCTAGAAGTACAGCAGGGGGGGGGGGGGGGGGCACTGGTGCCATTGAGGCCCCTGCGCCAGTCCTTGTCTCCTATGCCTTTACCTGCCTGGGGTTGGGGGAGGTCTGTGGAGACCTGCCCAGCTCCTGAAATGGGGCCCCACAGACCTCCCTGTGTGTCACAGTGAGAATGAGGCCCTGTGGCGGGAGGTGGCCAGCCTGCGGCAAAAGCATGCCCAGCAGCAGAAAGTCGTCAACAAGGTAAGGCAGAGCTGGTGGCAGGTGGGTCCCTCCACAACTGGGCCAGAGTGACAGTATCCTCTCTGCCCCACAGCTCATTCAGTTTCTGATCTCGCTGGTGCAATCAAACCGGATCCTGGGAGTGAAGAGAAAGATGTAAGGCACTGGGGAGGCCTGCATCCTCCACCTAGGCCAGGGTATCCTTACCCTTTCTGTTATATCCTGGCAAGCAGCTAACCCTGCACTTCCCCTGCAGCCCCCTGATGTTGAGCGACAGTAGTTCAGCACACTCTGTGCCCAAGTACGCCCGACAGTACTCCCTGGAACGTGTCCATGGCCCAGGCTCATACTCGGTATGCATCCAGCCAGATGGCACAGCCACCAGGTGTGTGGGACACTGTGGGTCTGTGCTGCCACAGGCCACAGGTACACCTGCATGTGGCCACTGCCTCTGATTCTAGGCTTCATCACCGGCCTACAGCGGCTCCAGCCTCTATGCCCCAGACCCTGTCACCAGCTCGGGACCCATAATCTCTGACATCACAGAGCTGGCTCCCACCAGCCCCCTGGCCTCCTCAGGCAGGAGCATAGATGAGAGGTAGGCCATGTCCCCAGCCCTCATGATCTTCTTTGGGTTCAGGGCAGAGTTGGGAGTGGTGGAGCCAGCTGGGGCTCTTCCTGACATCCCCGCTGTGTCCAGGCCCCTGTCCAGCAGCTCTTTGGTACATGTCAAGGAGGAACCCCCCAGCCCACCTCGGAGCCCCCGGGTGGAGGAGGCCAGTCCCGGGCACCCGTCCTCTGTAGACACTCCCTTGTCCCCGACTGCCCTCATCGACTCCATCCTGCGGGAGAGCGAGCCTGCCCCTGCCACCTCAGCCACAGCTGTAGTCTCCACTGAAGCTAGAGGCCACACCCCCTCACCCACGCCCCCTTCTGCCTCTGAGAAGTGCCTCAGCGTAGCCTGCCTGGACAAGTGAGTATTGCTTCTGTGCATGTACCCTGGGCCTTTGCTAGGACTGTCATGGAGGGCTAGCACAGGATGGTGGGCAAGGCAAGACCTCCAGGGCCCATGGGCACAGTTTGCTGAGGGTGAGTGGGGCACACTTGAGCCCCACACTCACACACAAACCTCAGGGTTTGGGGCTGGGGGAGAGATGAGTACTACCCAGATCACCACAACTCCCATTCTACAGGAACCAAAGGTACATGGCAGGGCCCCATTTTCCTAGGAGCCCCTGCCCTCTGAGCCACCTTGCTGCTGCCATCACCCCTCCTGCAATAAAGCACAGGGTCCTGGTATCTGTCATGCTGCACATGCTGGGGCAGGAGACGGGGAGTGAGGGCTCAAAGGCTGAGTAAGCGAGGGAACTGGGCACAGACCCCTCCCCCGGCCTCTGCCTGCAATGGCGGGGCTCTTGTCTTTGTATCTTGCAGTTTGGCTCGCACTCCACAGATGTCTGGGGTCGCCCGCCTCTTCCCCTGCCCCTCTTCTTCCTTTCTGCATGGCCGAGTCCAGCCAGGGTTAGCGCTGCCCCCAATGGGGAGGGAGGAGGGCTCTGCCAGAGCTCGGGCCCTTCCTGCAGCCACGGACCAAATCCCGACCTGAGTATAGCATGCTCACTTTGCCTGGTGGAGGGCACCCAGGGGATAGCCTCTCAGGCTCTGCATCTTCACCGACTCCCCTGGGTATAGGCCAGTGGCTGTCAATGGAACAAGTTCCCACCTGGCCTGGGCACCAATACAGGCAGGATCTAGGGTGGTTTGCTGAGCTTCCCCTCAGGGTGGGGTGGACTCCGAGGTACTTGTGGAGACAGCCTGGCTGCCCTCCCCATGGCCCAGGTGTGCCCAGTGGCCTAGGGCCTTCTGAGTCACAGCAGAGGCTAGGGGCTGGGGAGCAGACCCAGCCACACTAACACACCTGAGGGAGCCCTGTCTCCCCTCTTTACTGTCTTCCAAGTGCAATGGCAAGACCTTGAGCCTGAAAACCCTTATTCCCTCCCATTTCTAGACCTGACCCACTTGTCCTCTGCTGCCTTCTTGGCCCAGCTATTCTCACCAAGGCCGTGTACATACACAGACAGACAGACAGACATACACACAAACACACACACAGAGTCCCCCATCCCCCAGCCTATGCTGGCTGTGTAGAGGGGCCCTGCCTGGCAGTGCTCCCAAGGGGAGCCCTTCCCCCAAAGGAACGTGTCTCGGTCAGGGGGCCTAGGCCACTGGTTTACCTGTCCTCGCCTTGCACCAGGAATGAGCTCAGTGACCACCTGGATGCCATGGACTCCAACCTGGACAACCTGCAGACCATGCTGACCAGCCACGGCTTCAGCGTGGACACCAGTGCCCTACTGGACGTGAGTCTGCCCTGCTCCACCTGCCCTGCCCTACCTGGCCACCGGCCAGCCCTGACTTCCCTCCCTCCCTCCCTCCCTCCCACAGCTGTTCAGCCCCTCCGTGACCATGCCTGACATGAGCCTGCCTGACCTTGACAGCAGCCTGGCCAGCGTGCGTAGGCGGGCAGGGTGGGGGGCAGAGGGGCCCCACAGCACCCCTCATGGTACCTCTTCCAACCCACAGATCCAGGAGCTCCTATCTCCCCAGGACCCCCCCAGGCCTCTTGAGGCAGAGAACAGCAGCCCCGACTCAGGTGAGCAAGCCCTGTGCCACCTCCCCACACTTTCTCCTCCTTCCTGCCCACCCCACACCTGACCCCTGCCCCACAGGAAAGCAGCTGGTGCACTACACTGCGCAGCCCCTGTTCCTGCTGGACCCAGATGCCGTGGACACAGGGAACAACGAGCTACCTGTGCTCTTTGAGCTTGGGGAGGGCTCCTACTTCTCCGAGGGAGATGACTACACGGACGACCCTACAATCTCCCTGCTGACAGGCTCTGAAGCCACCAAAGCCAAGGATCCCACTGTCTCCTAGAGACCCCAGAAAGAAGCAGGCTAGCCGGTGCCCTGCCCCCGACCCCAGGGAAGGCACATAGTCCTGGGGTACCCTGGATCAGCCTCCACAGCCCCAATAGGGGCACAGCAAAGGGACTTGGAGCTGGGCAGTGCCTCGGGTCTAGTGAGGGTCCTGGGGCCTGCACACTCACTGCCCTTGCCCCACCCTGGGAGTCCTGGTTTGGTTGGGGCTTCACAGCCACACTTTGGACTGAGAGTGCAGGTTGTTTATAGAGTTGTATTTTGGATTTTTTTACATGAGGGTTCCCCTTCCCTTTCACAGAGAAGTATATAGACGGATGGACAGACAAGACTGACAGAAATCTATAAATGGACAAGCTCTGTGCTGGGGTCTCCTGTTTCTTCTTGCCCTGGGGTGATGAGGGAGGTTCAGGTGCGAGGGAGGTTCAGGTGCAAGGGAGGGGCCCAAGGTAGAGAGATCACTGCAGGCCTGGGCTTTACTGGCCTTGGAAGTAGGTAGAAGCCCCAGAGCACATTTTTACTCACTGCTCTTTATTGAGGGGCCAGGGAAGGGCAGTGTGGGTGAGTTGTCAGATGGCCCCCCTTTCCTGAGGTATCCACTCAAGAATGGGGACATAAGTGGGCATACCTGCATATCTTCTGACAGAATAAAACCCTCTTCTATACCTGTGAAATGCTGGGCTGGCTTTGGGGCAAAGGCAGCCTGCTCTTGCTGCCTGGGTGAGCAGTGGTACATCCCCACTCCCAGGTCGGGCCCTGCCAGCTAAGGGGTGAAGGGAGGCACAATGCCCACACTGTAGGAGAGGCAGACCAGACAGCTCCACCTCAGCAGGCCAGGGTAATTGCTACCAGGGAGGCACTGTCTGTATTCTAGGGTCTGCAGGCCTCCCTAGGGGGGGCACCAGCCAGGATAAGGCAGCCCCTGATAACCTGGCCTCCCATCACTACCATGGCCAGAGAGGTGACATGAACCAGTTTGCTAATGGGCTGAGGTAGCACAGTCATGAGGCCACCACCCACCCTCCACAGGTCTCCCCACCTTATTGGTCCACTTAGTGGCCCATCTCGGGCAACTGCTGTGGGTCAGAGAGCTATGGCCTAGTACAAGCCCACCAAGACAAGGTAGGGGCACAGGCCCTGGGCTGCCCCCTACCTCTATCTGCCACTAAGGTGGCCTCTGCCCAACTTGGCAAGTAGACGGGCTGGAGGCAAGGCAGCCTTCCAGAAGTCATGGGACTGCCTCTTACTGTCAAGAGAACCAAAGGTGGGGAAATAGAATACAAGACAAACGTGACCCCTCTGCAAGGCACCCTAGAGCCACTGGCCCACCTTGCTGAGTAGGCCCATCCCAGGGAGCTAGGTTAAGGGGCAGTCTAGCTCCAGGGAATCTCTGTACAGTCTCACCTCTAGGAAAATGAACCAGGTTCTCCTAGAGTAATGACGGCAAACCTTTTAGTTTTTAATAACACCCTGCTGGGGCACACATGCCATAGGTTCGCCACCACTGCCCTACAGGCAGTGAGGAGAGAGGCCACCCCAGGTGAGTGACCCATGAACATAGCGTCCAAGTTCTAAGCCTCCTCAGTCTGCCAGACACACAAGAAAGGCCCTGGACTCCTTGGTCTCTGGCCGGCCTGCCTGAGGCCCACTCCCAGAAAGCCTGGGTACCCTTTCCCAGGTTCAGGCTGGATATCAGGGTGTATCTAGGTTGGCCAGGCAGGCTCATCCTACACTGGGATCCAAAAGATAAGCAAGGCAAGGGCAGGACAGGAAGTATAACCTCAGCTGGACCTCCCCCACTACCCACCTTCAGCTAGGCTGCTGCCTCTCAGTGGTTATGCCCTATACTGCTGAAGCTGAACAGTCTTGCCTACCAACCCCAGGCAGTCACTGGCGCCCAAGTTGGCTGCTGGCTGGGATGGAAGGGGACAGCAGAACCCAGATACAGTGTCACAGCCTGAGCTGGAAGCACGAGGACCAGTGGACAGCACTGACTCCAGTGGTTGTGGGTTATCCTTCCCACCAGGCCCCATACCCCCAGCAGCCTGAGGGAAGTCACTTTAGACAGTACTTTATTGATGCCCTTGATCCCTGGTCAGCAAACTCCTGACACTGTCTCCGCCAGCTGGATACTGCTGTTGACATCTCATAGGAACAGGAGGGAGCCCCATGGGATAGAGACCCCCCAGGGCATGAGAAGGGTGCAGGCAGTCAGGCCACCTAAAGGACTCCAGGCCCAGGCAGAAGACGACTAGCTCTGGCTGTGGACAGTGAGGAGAAGCCAGACTCGGGAGCAGCTCAGGTCCCTGCTATGAGGGCTCATAGTTGAGCACGTAGTAGTCATGGACATACATGAGCACAGCCATTGGCTGCCCTATGATGAGTGTCAGCCACACAGCTGCATTGCCATAGTTGCCCTGGAAGAAGGGGCCCACAATCCAGGCCAGTGGAACCTGGGGACAAGTGGGGACAAGGTCCATCAGCCACAGTGACTACATGGAATGGGGCTCAACACAGAGGCAGAAGGCAGGCTGGCAAGCCAGCTCACTCACCTGAGCCATCATGGCTGTGAAAGCCCAGAGGCGGAACATTCGCAGGGGGATGCTCAATACATACTGCAGAGAAGGGATAAGTGGCATCAGTGTCTCGGTCATTGGCTACACCCCTGACAAGGTGAGGTAGGACACCCAAAGAGCACTGACCTCATGGAAAAAGGCTGAAGCTAGGAACACACCTGTCCTTGCCACCCATTTGCTGTTGCCCCGTTGAAGCAGGGGCTTGTAGAAGTGTCTGCAAAGGAAGTAGCTATGGGACAAAGCCCCGGGAAGAAGCCTATGCCATATTCACACCACACATGCGCACAATCACCCACCTAAGGCACCACTTGTGCACTGGGATGTTCCAGTTCTGCCAGAAGTATCCAACAGACTCAGAGTTCCTGGGGGTCAAGAGACAACAGGATAAGCAGGGCACACTTTGACCCACTGGGCCCCCCAGGGCCATTCCTGAGGCCACCCACCACCAGTCCCGGTAGAACTCCCGGTCTCCAAACTGCATGAGCTCCGCCACAGCATTCATGCAGGAGTGGAAGAGCCAGTAGAAGAAGATGAGCCAGATGAGATGGTTGGGGACCTGTGGAGGGAGGGGGCTCCAGGTTGCAAAACACTCCCACCCTCAGACTCCACCCACCTGCCAACCACTGACACTCACCGCCAGCTTCAGGAGACGCTCAATAATGCGTGAGTAGTCCATATCCTGCAAGGCACAGACTGCCTCAGCCACTGTCCCATCACTGTTGTCGTCATACCCCCAACCCCCAAGCCTACTCCAGCTGTAAGAGTCAGATCCTCACCTTGAAGGGCTTCATGGAGTTCTGGATGGTGGGGACCATCCACTGCAAAGGAGGTTATTTTGTCAGTTTCAGCCATGCTGAGCCCTACCACCCATCGCCTTCCCCACTTACCTGCTGGATCAGGGCCACCTGGAGCTGGGTGAAGAACAGCTGAGAAAAGATCCAGAGATCAGCCACTGAGACCCCAGCCACCACCAGGCCCTGCCCCTGGTGGCTCCCCCAGCACCAAACCTCACCATCTCAAGGAGTCGCCGTAGCAGAAAGCGTTTTCGGATTCGGGGGGAGCGGGGAAAGTTGAGTTCATAACACAAAGTAGGGGCAAAAATGAAGTAGTAGAGATCTGGAAGGGAAGGGATGGGCTGGAACCAGCAGAGATCTGACTCTACTCCCCCCCATCCCACTAGGGCCCAGACCCCCCAGGTGCTCACCACGGTAGGTCAGGTTGTCTGGGTAGCTTATGGTGCCCTGGGTACTGTCCCCACTGGCTTTCTTCCCTACAGAGGCTGAAAGCAAATCAGGGCAGAGGGTAGAGTGGGATGTGCTACCCAGGCACAACCCTTGAGGCAGGCCCAGCCCCTGAATCCCTCACCAGTCTTGGCCTTAGCCCTGTACTGTCGGCACCACAGGTTGACATCCCGGTAGGAGATGAGCTTGAGGAAGAGGATGGTGTACGCTACCAGAGCCAGCAGGGAACCCACTGCAGAAGAGGCATGCTCAGCCACAGCCCATCATACCCTAGGGAACCAAGCCATGAGGCTGAGCTAGGGCTGGCCCAGGGGGAATGGAAGCACACCTGGAGTGATGGACTTGACCAGTAAGGCCACAGATGCTGGGAAGCAGAGAATGGTGACAAGGTTGGCCACGTGCAGCAGCAGCCCTGCCTGCTCTGTCAGGGTACCCTGTTGGGGGTGGGGGGGGATTTAATCAAGGCCTCACTCAGACAGCCCCTCAAGAACTGGTAGGAAGAGGGTAGGCACTGCTTACCACCGCCAGGCGTTTCTCAACCTGGAATGCAGCCACAACAAAGACATTGGCCACTGAGAACAGAAGCATCACAGGGCAGGTTCAGAGCCCCAATTAGCCTGGTGCCCACCCATGGCCCTCCTCAGAGCCCAGCTCACCAATAACCAGACATGGGGCAGGCCAGCTGTAGGGATCCTTCAGGAACAGAGACACCACCTGGATGGGGTCCACCAGGATGCCATACCTGGAGGTGGGGCAATAGGAGCCTGAGTGGTTGTAGGGCCTGGCCTGGGGGTAGGGCCTGAGCAGGCAATGGGCAGGGCCTGCAGAAAGTACTCACTTGATGAGGTTCTCCAAAAATAATCGAGCATTGCTCAGGATCTGCAAGAAACCATCAAGAAGGCTCAGCCCTCAGAGTACTGGCCACAGGTTGTCCCACTAGCACCTCCCAGCTCCCCTTAGCATCTCTGGAGCAAAAGGTCAGGGTGGCAGCCTCTACCTTACAGACCCAGCCCCTTCTGGTGTCCACACTAAGCACTGAGATTCACTACACACTAGTCAATACAAGGCAGAGAGGTGTCTCTCACTGTCCCAAGCAGAGGGACCAACCCCACTACCAGGCATCTCTAGCAGCAAGCAGACCTGCAGTTCAGGAATCCTCATCCCTCCTGCCAAGCTGAACCACTGAGGAAGCCAAAGCCAGATCCTTAGCCTGCCACCAGGGTCTTGTCCCCAAAGTCATGGCTGCCTGGGGAAGCTGGCCCAAAGCTGAACTCCAAGGACTAGTCCCTACTGGGGGTAGGGGTGGAGAGTACCCTTACACTACTCCACAAATCAGGCTGGTCCCTGCGGTGCCCAGCTTGGGTGCAAGAGGCTTCAGCAGGGGAGGGCAAGCAAAGTGAAGATCTCATCATAGCTGAGGGGCAAGAGGAGGTATTTTGTCCCTGCCCTGCTTCAGCTGTTCCTTCAACAATCCAAGCTCTGACAGCTTGGCCCAGTACAGCCTCTAAGGACTGAGCACCCATCAAAACAGGCTCCTGGGGGCTGGGGATTTAGCTCAGTGGTTCCGCCGCCTGCCTCAAAAGCATAAGGTCCAGAGTTCAATCCCTGGTACCAAAACAGGCTCCTGACTGTTGCCTGGGACTGGATGCTTAGCCTCCTTATCCATCTCACAACCACCTGAAAGCCAGGCCCTAATGCCACCACACCATCCAACTACCCAGAGCTGAGGTCCTAAACAGTGGAGGTGATGGATGCTGTGGAAAAGCAACACCAGCAAGGGAACACTGCAAGGGAAGGTTTTATAGAGGTGGTGACAAGCTCAGACACTAGAGCTGCCATCCCACCTACCCCCACCTC